CCTATAGGCTTTGTGCATATTTGAATGTGGATATCTGTTTCTCACCAAAGCTTACCATGAATTTTTTTTTTTTTTTGAGGTAGTGTTGAAATATTTCAGAACACGTGGGGTGTACTGTAGAGCAGGACTAATGAGTTTGTGAGGTTTTCAGTGTCATGAAGGTGGTTCTTTTTTAACCTGCTCCATCACCGTGACAACTGATGCTGCACAGCCAATACGCTCCAGGTTTTGTTTGGAGATTGGGATTTAAATTGGCTCTTTCCCTTTTGCCAGTTTTTTTCCTGACCACGTTTCCTATGAGCGAACTGAGGAAATACGTTATATATGCAAACCTGTTCAGCTATACGTCAGCGATCACACCGAACAAAGCTGTCGGTTACGTCAGCACAGGCTGCATGTGTTGAGTTGCCATGGAAACCTACATGCATTCAGTCATCGAGGCATATATTGTGTAAATATGTTTTTATACTTGGTCCTGATTTAAGTCTGTTTTACGCTGCTGGTGTTGCAGCTAATAGCACACAGATTAGAAAATTGATTAATCCATTGGGATTTAACAGAGAATATTAAAGTAGGATCATAAATTCAGTTTAATTTGGCACAAACTGAAGTTATTTCCACGTATCTTTCACTATGGGGCAGTGTTAGACCTGAATGCAGTTGTGAAGCATCATGTTTGTATATGTAAAATTGGGGAGCTTTAATATGCAGCTGTATATATATATATATATATATATATCAACAATTTTCTACCAGCCTTGTTCTCTTGCTTTATGTGCAGTAACAGTGCTGTTGTATTTATATTTTTTACATTCTTCATAGCTCTTCTTTATAAAAACCTGTTCTTTGGGGCTGAAGTAGGTAAGTTTTGTGTGGAAGAAGTCACATGATGCACAGAATGCCCCTTTTTATGGGAAGTAAACCACCATCATGATGCTCATTATCTCTGACTGGGGTTTTAGGGTTTATCAAGCCAGTTTACACAAAGAAAGCCAAGCTATGTCCAGCTTACTTTATAGTACACCCCTCTGCGTTTCGTACATTCTGCAGCTCACAGTCTTTTTCTTGACCTCTCTTGGCGTGTTAACCCCACCGACTCTTTACAGATCACATTATCTTATCTGTGTGTTCATGTGATACAAACAAAATGAGGACTCGCTTATAAACAGACTGCTCCGCCGTTCTGCTTGTGGTTAAAACCTCTTTAGGGCAGAACTCAGGAGAGGTCTTTCAAATACATAGAACGTCAGACCAGACCAACATAAGTGTTCTAAAACATTATTCCAGCAGCGTGAGGAGGCCGTTCACCCTGTTGCCACTTCACAAGCTGCAGATTTTCAGCTATCCTGAATGATTTTTGTATTTATTTCTAAAGGCAATGGACAATTGTTTGACAAATTCTAGCAGCAGAAACAGTAGCTTGATCTTTTGACCACGAAATAGGAATATAATCAGGCATGCATGAAGTGAAGCAGTTTACGAAGCAGTTTCTCACAAATGACGTTCATCAGCCAAAAATCTCTGGCAGAAATCTCAAAACATCAGCAGATAAAGCCAAAGCTATCTGCGTAGCACCGAATCAAAAGGGGTTGTGATGTCCAAGTCTTAAATTTAGTGCACCAGCGGTTATTTGTGTCCTCCCCAAGGTAAGACTCCAGAAGGGCATCCGCAAGTGAAACACTGCAAAGATTTTAATTGCGGCGCGACCTCTTCGTGGCAAAAAGCCTGCAGGACCTACTTTTTTTCCCTGCAGGCGCTGATCATCACAGTCATGTCGGGCCTTAACTGCACAGCAGAGCAGATGAGCTGCAGAGTCAGATTGTTCATCTCACTGGCACAAAGCCCAAGCATGAGTGTGAATAAAGCAAGGCCCAGGGCAGACATCTAAACCACCTGATTCGCTGAAAATGTAATTTAATGCTGGAACATCAATAAACAGCTTTCCAGGGGTTATCGCCAGAGTCCAGCCCGATCTTGGGCCTGAAGTCGCTGCCAGGTTCTGGAGTATGGATCGTGTTACTGTTTAATAACTTTACAGAAACATGTTCAGCAACTTATTGTGAAGACGCTGCTCGACTCCACAGCACCAGCCACGATGCGTACTCTGCTACATGTGCTGCCGACAGCGCAGTACAGTCGTGACTTGATTATCGGACACTTAACAATCCTAAACCTGCTATCCGACAGGTTTTTAGGAAAAACGAATGGAACCCATAAAAACAGCCTTAACATAGCGACAGCCTTGCATTCTGACTCCGACATGACATTTTATGTCACCAATCAGGATAACGGCGTATTATCTGACTGAACAATCCCACAGATTGGCTACGTTCACACTGCAGGACTTGATGCTCAATGAGGATTTCTTTGTGAGTTCCTTCACATTTCCAGTTAAATGCGACTTGTATGTGATCTGCTGTGTGAACTTCATACGACCCAAAAGTGTCCCGCATGCGCAGAAGAGGACGCGACGACGTCACATGCAGCGAGCGTGCTCAGTGTTTACGGAAGTAAACATGGATGGTAACGGTGGAGCATATCTGCCACTCCCCCACCGCCACCGATGGTGGAAACAGAAGTGTGAGCGCTAACTAAACTAGCATCAGCAGCCAAGTGCTGCCTGTGTGTTCTGGACACTTCCACCCTGTCAGAGCGCTGCCCCAGGGTGGAAGTGTCCCCCGACCGGGACGAATATTCTGATATTCATCATTAATTGGGCCTGAACATCCAAAGAGCAGAAAGTGCTATTGGGACCAGCCCTACTAGTTATTATGACAACTATGAACAATAATTAACAACTAATGAGCCTTCCAGCATCAAGCCCTCCTTGTATCTCGACCTCCGTCTTGACAATCCGACAGCCTTGCTATCCGACATAAAAGAAGGTTTTACATCTAGTGTCAGATGATCGAGTCACGATTGTATCTCATTTCACTAATTGCACATCCTCGATTTCTTGCGTCTTCGTCCCTCCCATTAGGGATTCAAGTGGAAGATGGGGGTCGAGGCAAAAGTGTTCACAACAGTATATATGAACTGATAATTCACAGTTTGGCAGAATGTGACGAGAAAGTGCACGTGTCACACATTTAAAGTCGTGGCGCACAACGTAGTATATACAAATAAAAAGTGACCTATGTTAGGATTGCGGTTTGTGTATTCCAACTGGAAAAGACTTCATCGAGGACACAGAGAGGACACACCTGAATGTCCTCACAGCTCCTCCAGAGAACCTCCTCGACCCACAATTGATTTCTGGGTCACAGGACGGAGGAGCTGAGGAGGCTGAAATTAGTGAAATGAGATTAGACCTGTGTGATGGCACCTTTTCTGAATTAACTCTAGCTTTTTTTCTGCTTCATATTCTTTTCAAATCACATCACACAACATATATGCTGAAACCAATAGTGATTGATTGAAAAAAAAAAACAACTGAGAACAAGGCTCTCATTCACAGCAGTGTCCTGAGAAGACATCGTGACTAATTTTAAAAGTATAAAAAATGTGGATTCAACATGTGCATTCAGTCAAAGACATGTCTACCAGTATCAGTATCGGTCAGGCTCCTGTTAACACTGACACTTTTTCATAAAATGCTAAATTAGCAAAGCTGTGCTATAATCAATAATGTGCTCTTAGCAAAGTAAATTGTGTCTTTCAGCGATTGACTGTAAGGCGGTTAGGACACGCTCCAGGCCTGGCTCAAAGAAGAAGACACTGCCCTTACCACAAACTCCAGAGGAGATGTACAGGCTCACCTGCAGGTAACCTTTTATTCCTTATAGTTATTTATAGGATGTCTGATGGTCTGTGTGTTTGTTCTGAACGCTGTACTAAGTGGAGTCTTTAACCGTGGGTCCTTGTTCTCTTCCCAGGTTCTGTGACCTCGTCTTCCAGGGTCCCTTGTCGGTTCAGGAGGACTGGATCAAACATTTACAGAGACACATTATGAACACTAGTGTCCCTCACACTGGGCTAGGCATGGTAGAGGTCACCTCGTTGCCCTCGGACCCCCCGACCCTCAAGACTGATCAAAACGGCTCTTTGACAGTCACACATGCTGCCTCATGAGGCCAACGGGGACCTTTTTAGATTTCACTAGACTGTATGTGTATGTACATTGGATGTTCTTTCACTTTTTATTTTAGTTAATGAAATACTGGCCAAAAGTACGGCACCGCTCAGCGCTGGAGGTGTCGTACGCGTTTGAACATTTGGACAGATGAAAAAGTTAATTATTTTGGATATTGTTACCTTTGTCTGTTTTTACATGGTCCATTGTTTTTGGAACGCGGTTCCGAGTGGACAGACTGTTTTTTCTTGTTTTATGCAGTAATGTAGTGTGGAATCCATTTTTAATGAAGACAACTTTTACCTCAGATTTCTCATGGTTTGAGTCAGTTTTTGTCAATATTCGGGAGCACTTCTCTTCTGTATCAATACTCACGTTAATTACACAGAATCATGTTTCCTTTGTATTGCATCATCTTCAAATCAAAGCCCACAGACTCTTTTCAGGCCAGAGTTGCTGAGACGAAGATTTCAACTGAAAGTGCAAAAAAAAAAAAATGTCTGCAAACTTGTTATGCATAGAAAGTGTTTTATAGTATTTCAGTAACTGCATTGTTTCTAATACAAAAATTAAACTGAAGGTGGTTGAGAAAAAAAAGACCCGACGCGCACAGGCCGTGCTGCTCACGCCCTTCATACATGTCACCTATATTTAATGTTTAAATATACTGTTTTGAAATAATTTAATTTTAAATGTACTATATCACACAGATACAATGCTTAAAACATTTGTGTTGTTCTAAATAAAAAAAAAAAAAAGCAAAGCAGCAACGTGACTTTTTCTAATTATTTTTTCACTTAAGTTATAAAAAATAAATCACATTTGGTCTGTAAATCACAGGAAAAAACAAACTGTCCTGTTACTGATGTGAGAGCACCTACAGCGGAGACGAACAACATCTAAACTGTATGAACACAAACAAATCAGCTGGTTTGAGCAGACTGAAGAATTCCTTGTTTATTGAGACCCGTCTTGAATGGCAGGTAAACAGTATGCTCTGCTAGCAGCCAGCACCACCGCTGACAGCGTTAATGTGTGGTTGTGACGTCCGTCGTTCTTCCACCGAAGCGTGCAGCGTCTCCGTGTAAACACTGTTTTGGAGACAGAGAAATGTGTCATTCCAACGGGTTGCCACCCTGAAAGACAAAAAAGACAGTTGAGTTTGTTAGTGAGCTGCATATCAAGAGCTCAGGAGTACAGTCGACTTTAATTACTAGTAATTACCAGCCGCCTTATAGGGTACCGCCTACTGGTGCTACTGATTAGATAATGATAAAGGATTACTCGGATGGTTTAGTCACTTGATTTGATTTGTGTTGATTTAACTGTTTTGCTGTTTTCACAACAGTTTGTGACACAAGAGCACAAATAAACCAAGTGTGTAAGTATCATCAGCAACATCTACCTGAAGCATCCAAAGTACTTCTTAGGTAGTAAAACAGAACCTGCCATCTACGATTAGCTGGTTTTCAAGTAATATTACTGCTGCATTCATTTAGATGCTGCATTTTTATGCCATAAATGTTTCAGGTTAAGCTTGTTTTAACTACTTTATTTATTGCCGAGGGCTTCAATCTGCAGCAGTGCACCGTATTGTTTAAGATGATCAGTAGTTTCTCCATCCTTTGAGAACCACAGAGCTCAGAAGAACCGTTTTCAGTTTTGTGAAAGCAGCAGAATATCCTCTACACATAAAGGAACATGAGCCTTTCAGGTTATCACCAAAGTCCCACATCTGGAGATGTATCGGCTTTCACTGGACAAACATAAACCTGAACATAAAGCTGCTGGAGAAGAAAATACTACTTTTGTACCTTAAACAGGGATCTCCAGCTCCGGTCCTGGTGAGCTGCTGTCCTGCAGGTTTTGGACGTTACAACAACACATCTGACTCACATTAATAAATCATTAACAGACTTGTGTAGAACTTGACAACAAGCTGCTGGAGATCCATTAATGTGAGTCAGGTGTGTTGCAGTAAACCTGCAGGACAGGAGCTCAGGAGGACCGGCGCTGGAGATCCCTGACCAAAGATGTAGTGGAGTAGAAGTATAAGGCTGGAAATAAAATGGAAAAACTCCAGTAAAGTACTTTAAAAGTGTATTTAGGTACAGTACTTGATTAAACGTGGTTACATTCCACCACTGCACTGGTGTACTCTAACAGGAGAGAAGTGCTGTGACGAGCTGTAATATGTAGGATTACGTATCTGAACTGTTGTACGTGACCCTCCACCAACCACAGCTTCCCCATTTGGATTTTATTTGCATCTCTAAGCAGCTACAAGAGTTGTGTATACATATATATATATATATATATGGTCTCTGTACGTTGTTTTAAGCCATTTTTTTCCATGATTCTGTTTGAATACTTATGACATCTCGTACCTTCAGGAAGTGTTCAAACTGTGGTTTCAGCTCCTTCATCATGGTCTCTGCTTTGCTGAGGCACGTAAGTCTCTGCTGCACTTGGAACTCCTTCAGGAAATCAATGGAATAACCATCACGAACAGAAACGCGTTGAAAGAACACTCAGTGAGTGGCGCTGTGCTCCAGGACAGCGGCGTTACCTTGGTGTTAGAGAGGTGTTCCTGGGAGGTGATGTGCGCCTGCACCTCGGCTGCAGATGTGGATATGAAGACTTTGCAGGCGGCACAGTGAAACATTTCTACCCGTGTCATGTGGTCATTCTCCTGCAGGGCTGACAGTTCAACGATAAGGCTGGATTTAGGGATTTACTCTGATTTGTCTGGAGCAGGAATTACTGCAACAATGCAACGGGTGTCTGTCATGATTTCTGACAGCTTCACTATGACGGTGTGCTTACCTTGCAGTGCACTGTCCTCTATGGGTCGGCTGCAGTGCTGGCTTTTATACAGCATGACTTCCTACAGAAATAAAAGCCTCCATCACTGTCCTGACAAGCCAGCACTCGCAGATCTGTGAATGTGTCTGTGGTCTATTTAGCATTTACGGGAAAAAGAGTTCAGTAGAAGAAGCGTTGGACGTAGAATCTTACCTGGAGGAAGGCAATAGCCATATCATCGTAACTATTGTTCTGCTGAATGTGCTCCAGAGTGTCCCAGTGACTTTTACTGTCTAAGTGATCCTCCAGCTCCTTCCCGTTTGCCAGCTCAACCTCACAAAGGTCGCATGTGATGGGGCGCCTCGAAGAAAAATATTAAGACAGTAACTATTAAAACAGCTGAAAAAAACTGCCCTTTAAACAGCTGAGCTCTTTGTACGAGTTCAAACAGGCGACTGTTGTTCTGACTTTCTGAAAATAAGTGTTCCAGAGTTACAAGGTCCAAGCTGTGTTCACAACAGAGCTCTACTTCTGCAGAGTGCTTTAGCTGCACTCATTAGGGGATGTTTTTTTAGCTAAATGTTATCAGTATGTTTTGCCTCTAATAATTCAGAACCTCTCGGCATCAGAGTGCGGACACAAAAGCATTTAAAGCACGCAACAATAAAACCGCCATGATGGAAACGTGAATAATGGAACAGGTACGGGCCTGTGCAAGGAGGAAAGTGATTTATTTATGCTCCTCGGTGTATTGATAATCATCAGTCAGTCCAAAGCAGTTCAGTGCAAACGAGTTTCCTCAGTTTGGGTCATTATGCTAACTAGCTACCAGCAGAGCAGTACAGCTGATATCGGGGCTTTCCTCTTCTTGACATCATAACACTTTATCCCGACCGTCTCAAGACATTAACGAACGGTGAATGCAGCAGACTTGGCTTGACACAGTGGGACCGACAGATTCTTGGTTCTGGCTCTGCATCTGACCAAATAAGCGGTACTGTTTAAAAAGTGTCCTGCACAGCTTTAGCCAAAGTGCATCAGAGGACGCGGTGAAACATAACATGGCCGCTTCACTGTGTTACATGTAGTGTCTTGAACAGCTTGGTGCTTACTTGTCCCTCACTACAGATGTGCTCTTATTCCTCGACACCTTTGCAGCAGGTGGGTCTTGGTCCAGTCCTACAGAGCAACACGAGACAAAGAATTACTCAAGTTCAGGACTGTGATGTGAAGCATGTCATGAATACGAGGTGTGTCAGAAAAGTTCCAGGTGTGGTGTCACAAGTGATATATTTCAAATCCAAACTACAAACTACCAGTTTTCCCCTTCCCAGTAATCCCCCTGGAGTCGAACACACTTCTCCAGCCTTCTCTTCACGCCGCCATGCACTCCTGGAAGGATTCCTCCAGAATCCTCTCAGCTCTGTCGTCGCAGCCATCTTGATGTCGTCCACGTCTTCTAAACGGGTCCCCTTGATGACCCCCTTGAGCTTGGGGAAGAGGAAACAATCCCACGGAGCCAGGTGGGGTGAGTAGGGAGGTTGCTCCAGCACGGAGATGTTCTTCTCAGCCAGGAGCTGTGGGATGCTCAGGGCGTTGTGAGCAGGTTGTCATGGTAAAGCAGCGACCACTGGTCCTGACACAACTCTGAACGAAGCAAACACTGCAGGATCTCTTTGTGGACGTGGTGGTTGGTCGTCTGGCCCGGTGGCAAGAACCGCAGTGGATGATGGCCCTCACATCGAAGAATGCGATCAACGTGACTTCGGCTTTGGACTTGGAGTGTCTTGGTTTCTTCGGCCTTGGCGACGTCGGACTCTTCCCCTCAAGGCTCTGGTGTTTGGTCTCCGGGTTGTACTCGAAGATCCATGACTCATCACCGGCAGGTCCGGTTCGGTTTCCAGACACTCGAGGATGTCCTGACACACTTGCATGCGTCGATCCTTCTGGTCATCTTTCAGCAGTTTCGGCACCACCATTGCGCAGACTTTCCTCATGCCCAAATCTTCAGTGACGTTGTCCCGGTTCACGTCCAGCTGATTTACGATCAGTCAAACAGTCAACCGACGGTTGCCACGCACCATCTGCTCAACGTTGGATCCTGCTCGTCGAAGGCTTTCCTCTCCTGGGTCGTCTTCCACATCCTGGCGTCCCTCCGTAAACCTCTTGCACCGCTCAAAAACCCCTGAGTGTGACATCGTCTCATCTCCGTACACTTGCTGCAGAAATCCCAGCGCTTCTGACGGAGTTTTCCCCAACCGGACCAGAAACTTCAGGTGTGTTCGTTGCTCTGTGCTCATTGCTTGAAACAGAGGATAACTACATAACAGCCTGTGGAAGAAAGTTCAACAGCTGCAGAGAGCTGAGATCACAGCTAGAGACTCCAGACGATTACTACGAAGGGAAAACTCGTAGTTTGTAGTTTGGGTTTGAGATATATCTTCTGTGACACCAGTCCTGGAACTTTTCTGAAACACGTCGTACAATCATGCACCTCCAATGTTTGATAAATGGACATAAAGACAAGCCAGTAAAACTAATGAAAATACCAGCTCACCTGCTTCTGCATACGCTGTGCTATGTTGATAGTCCCGCTTTAACCTGGGTGGAGACAATCTGACAGTAGTGCTCATCTACAGAGGAGAGAAATCACCAACGGTCACACCACAGTGGTGTCACGTAGAACGGAAACAGTGACTAATTGATCAAAACTGAAAGTGCAACACACAGGATTTGTTCAAGCCCCAAGCTGCTGTAATTGTTCTGTTAGTACCTCTCTCCTGTATTCTGGCATCGTCATCCTCTCCTCCCCCGTCCTCTGTCCTCCGTAAGATACCGGGGACAGCTGGGTGGAGGAGGCGTGAATAAGCCTGTCAGGGCTGCAGCCTCTGTGGCCCGCGGGTCCACTCACGGGGCCATAACCTGGACGATTAAGTGATTCGGCGTCTGGGCTGTAAGCTCGTCGTTGTCCTGGACTGAGACCTCGATTCTCTGCGGGTCTGGTTTCGGTGCTGAACTCACGTCTGCTGCGGGCTCGGTTCGCTGATTCAGAGTATGGCACGTCCCAGCGTGAGCCTCTGACTGGAGACAAGCGTTGATGCTCCAGGTTGTTGTCCTGGCTGTGGCACTCTTGACTTTTTGACACCTCAGGCTCAGAATCTGACGACAGCGGGCTGCAGGGGTCATAGAGTTCGGTCCTAAAAGAAAGAGGGAATACGCCGTCACATACAATATTACAGCTCGTCTCATGTCACCAGCTCCACCATGAATGTCCTAGAAGACTATAGAAAGTGGTGGGGGAGGGTTTGTCTTTCTGAAATGAGATCAGATAAATGAGAGGCCGTGTCCATCCATCATCTCTACATCTTAACCCTCACTAGGGTGGTGGGGAGCTGGAG